TCACTATCACCATTACCATTACCATCACCATCACCATCACCAGAATCGCTCATCAGCATTATCAGCATCACCAGCATCATCATCATAAGCATCATCAGCATCATCATCGTCATCAGCAGCATCGTCGGCATCATCATCAGCAGCAGCACCATCATCATCCTCATCTTCCGACTCATCATCATCAACAGCAACATCATCAGCAGCAGCATCATCAGCATCATCATCAGCAGCATCATCAGCATCACCATCATCATCATCATCATCATCATCGTCGTCGTCGTTGTTGTTGTCGTCGCCGTCGTCGCCATAGTCCCTCTTCTTCCCCTCTTCTTACACCACTACCTGCAGAGAGATTATGGGAACAACGAGCGTGCCCCGGTCAGGAATGCGCAATCCCCTCCTCATCCTCATCCTCTTACTACTACTCCTCCTACTCCTTACCATCATCATCCTCATCATCATCATCATCCTCATCATCATCATCATCATCATCATCGTCATCATCATCATCGTCATCATCATCATCATCATCATCATCATCATCATCATCATCATCATCATCATTATCAGCATAATCATCAGCATCAGCATCAGTATCAACATCATCAGCATCAGCATCAGCACCGGCAGCAGCATCATCATCAGCAGCAGTATCAGTATCATCACCAGCAGCATTATCATTGTCATCGGCAGCACCATCATCATCATCATCATCATCATCATCATCATCAGCATCCTCATCCTCAGCGTCAGCGTAAACCCCATTATCATCCTCATCCCAATCGTCATCATCATCAACATCATCCTCATCATGATCAACAACAGCATCACCTTCAGCAGCATCATCACCACCGTCGTCATCATCATCATCCTCATCAGCAGCAGCAGCATGAGTCCCTTCTTCCCGCCTCCCGATCCCCCACCTCTCCCCCCCTGTTCCCCCTCTCCGGCCACCTGCTCCCGCATCTTTCTCCCTCCCCCCTATTGATCGTTCCTCGGCATGAAATCTACTGCATCTCCAACATGGTTCGCTCCCGGCGTGCAGGCTGTGCTACTTCGATAGGAGCGTCTTTGGGCTTTTCAGAATGAACTGGTGCCTGCGCTACAGGATCAGCGCATTGCTCCAGTCGTGGAGAGTGGAGCCCCAGCCCCCGCGTGGACCACTTTTACCTGGCCTGCCGCCCCCCCCCCCTCTCGGTCTCCCTGTCCTCTGTGTGGCGGGCGAACCGCGACAGAGCACTAGAGAGTCTGAAGAAAGCAGGCGGGGGAGCGGCTGGTAGCAACACCAGCCCAGCAGCAGGCCAACGAGAGCCCAACTCCTCGGCATGACCTCTCCTCCCTCCCATCCTCCCGCTCCTCCCTCCCCCCCCCCTCCCCCGCGTCCTTCTCCTCCCCCCGTCGCGTGACCCTGGGGCTCCAGGGGGCATGGGCGGGCTCCAGAAGCCGCCAGGGCATCGGAGGCTGGGCGAACAAAGCTGGCGAACACTGGTACCAGACAGGGAAAACCAGAGGGGTGAAGAAAGGAAAAGGGCGAAGGTCAGGAGGGAAAGCGGAAGGAAAGGAATGGATAGGGGAGGGGAGGGGAGAGTGTTCGAGTGAGGCACCCGCCAGTGCGGCCCTCTCGGACTTCCAAAACTACGGACGCACAGCTGAAAGGAAGTGGTGCAACAGCTCTGGGGCAAGTACATCGCAAATGCATTGCGAAAGAGAGTTGGATTGCTTTGTGTTGCAAATAACGAACTGCACGCATCCAGCAATACATCTGCGCCCTGGAATGTACTGCACGCCACAAAGCGATTGCAACATCACATGGATATATCATATATATACTATAAATGATACGATAATATATATATATATACATATGTAATTTACAATAACAAATATGTATATGTATATATATATATATACACCACCACCCTCGTCTCGCTGGACCCCCTTTGGGGCTAACAAGAGTCACGTCTGACTGAGTTTAACCCCTAACCGGGGAAACCAAAAGCTTACTGGGGTCTAGCTCCAAATTGGTCGCACACATCCCGATAACAATTGGCTGCCAAGTTGCTGGCGTCAATCTGAACAAGTGAGAGGGCCAAAAGAGCGAGCACACAAGGACAACCTCCGCCAACTAGACACGCAAACCAGAAGCTAAACAGTGTTTTCGTGTTCGTTTTGTCGTCGTGTTCATTCGATCTCTCTTCTTTCTGCCTTCGCTGCGAAACGAAATCAAAACGAAAACGGTCCACGAAATCGCCAAAACGCCGTTTAGCTCGAGCCCTGACCCAAATCTTCCCGAAGCGCTCTCTCACTACGGGGCGAGAAAGATTCGACACGATCAGCTCCGCCATAAGACGAAGCCAAGACGAGGATAGCATCGGATGAGGATAAAACGAATATCTCAGTGGCGCCCTCTTCTAATCCTGAGTCTCTTGACGTTCCCGGGGCCTGGACTGGCCTCAACATCTGTGGCAACTTATGGGAGCCTCCCATGTCATCTTGCCGGCCCCTGCGAATCGACGCCAACAGACGCTAGTCGACGCTGAGACGACGCTGCCCGACGCTCCCTTATCGACTACCAGACGCTAGGGCACGTCCATGCACACTCTAAAAACGGACTTCCGAAGACATACAAGGCTCCCATGATTTGCTACCGAAATGAGGGATGCGAGGGAACGGGGCATGGCAGGACGGGGGAGGGCAGGATGAGCAGAATGAAAAGATGTCCTGAGATGAATAGGCAGGGCACAGCACAAGAGACAACTGATCGGTGCAGAACTAAGCAGAACACTACGAGAAGCAGCAGATCACGACACACCCTCTGGACAGAGTAGCGACAACACGCAGCCGCAGATCGGCCCAGAAAACGCACCAAGAAACGTAAAGACGCACGAGGCCCCCCATGATTTGCTACCAGAATCGTCTGGGTCCAAGTCCTCAGGATTCCTTTGTGTACCACACCCTCCCCGCCCCAGTCAGATTCCATCGCCCAGGGCCACGTTCAGAATACAAGGAACCACGCCCCAGGGAGGGACTTTTGTACACCAGCCCCACGAACAGAACCCTCGCTCGCCCCCCTGGGCTTTTGGGTATAGTACACAGCTCTTTTCGGGCGGACCGAGGGCCACAGCGACGGCGGGTGGTGCAGGCGCAGCGCGGAGGCGCAGGCCAGCCCAGGGCCCGCTGGCCGGCGGCCGACCCCCCCGCCGCTCCCAGGGGTCCGCCGCGGAGGCAGCCGCTTCCTCGTCGGAGCCACTCGCAGGGCTGCCTGGGGGTCGCGGCATGCTCCTTCCCCTCATGATCAGCAGCACGAAGCATCAGGTCATACCACCACCACCACCACCACCACCACCACCACCACCACCTCGATCATCATCATCATCATCATCATCATCATAATCATCATCATCATCATCATCATCATCATCATCATCATCATCATCAGCATCATCATCATCATCATCATCATCATCATCATCATCATCATCATCATCATCATCGTCATCATCATCATCATCATCCTCATCCTCATCATCATCATCATCATCATCGTCATCGTCATCGTCATCATCATCATCATCATCATCATCATCATCAGCATCATCATCACCATCAGCATCAGCATCAGCATCATCATCATCATCAGCATCATAATCAGCATCAGCATCATCATCATCATCATCATCACCATCATCATCTTATCAGCATCAGCATCAGCATCATCAGCAGCATCATCTTCATCATCAACATCAGCATCATCATCAGCATCAGCATCAGCAGCAGCATCATCAGAAGCATCCATCATCACCACCGCCACCGCCACCACCACCACCACCCTCATCATCATCATCAGCATCAGCATCATCAACCTCATCATCATCATCATCATCATCATCATCATCATCATCAACAGCATCAGCATCAGCATTAGCATCAGTATCAGTATCAGCATCATAATAATCATCACCACCACAATCATCAGCATCATCAGCATCAGCATCAGCATCAGCATCAGAATCATCATCAGCAGCAGCAACAGCAGCAAAAGAAGACGCAGCAGCAGCAGCATCAGCATCAAAATCATCACCACCATCATCATTAGCATCATCATCAACGGAATCAGCATCAGCATCAGCATCAGCATCAGCATCATGATGATGATCATCATCATGATCATCATCTTCACCACCACCACTACCACCACCACCACCACCATCATCATCATCATCATCATCACAATCACCATCACCATCACCACCACCACCACGACCACGTTCGTCATCAGCATCATCATCAGCATCACCATCATCATCTTATCAGCATCAGCATCAGAAGCATCATCATCAGCATCAGCATCCTCATCATCTTCGTTTTCGTCGTCATCATCATCACCATCATCATCATCAGCATCGTCAACATCATCATCAGCATCAGCATCATCATCATCATCAGCAGCATCATCATCATCACCGGTCAATGTACAGCCCTCTCCCCCATCCCTTTCTGATCAAGCACCAAACGAATGGGGCAACTTGGGGGATCTAGGTCCTTCTTCAGGAAAACCCACAGACACAAAAGGATTCAACGCAATCGAAAAGGATAAACGGGAGGGGTAGGATTTCAGATTTGGTGCGAGCGCGCCTAGCTTGCCCGATACCCTCCCTCCCTCGGGGGCGTCCAAGAGGGGGGCGTCCAAAAGATGGGTTCGCAAGTCATGGCCCGAGGAATGTGCGCGGACGAAAGGAGGCCAGGGGTCGTATTCAAAGAAGGAGAGAGGTACCATGAAATCACGGGAGATACCATTGCCCTGGCCATGATATACACCCCCACCCCCCCTTAGTCGTCACCCCCCTTTTTGCCAACCCCGACTCTCTGGCCGCTGACTCACACCCGCGCGGGTTCCCCGGCGGCGGCACGCCTGCGCCATCAACCGACAGCCGCTGCGCCGCGGCGTCCTCCACGAGCCGCTCCTGCGGCCCCATGACGAAGGGCACCCGGAACATCTGGGCGGCAAGGGTGGCAGAAGCTCTATGTATCCAGGCGCCCTTACAGACCTGCACATCCCCGTCATCCTCCTCCTCCTCGTCCTCCTCCTCCTCCAACTCCTCCTCCTCCTCCCCTTCCTCTTCCTCCTCCTCCTCCTCCTCCTGCTCCTCCTTCTGTTCCTCCTCCTCCTCCTCCTCTTCTTCGTCCTCCTGCTCCTCCCCCTCCTCCTCCTCATCCTCCTCTTCCTCCTCCAAAGATCCAATATCGTGCGGGCTCAATCAGCAAGCCAGCATCAGAGCGCTGATGCCCTCTACCTCCTCTTGCTTCCCATTATCATCACCATGTCGTTACATTATCTCTCTGGTCGTTATTCATTTAGTTGTGTTCCGTCGTTCTCTCTATCTCTCTCTCTCTCATTCTCTCTCTCTCTCTCTGTCTCTCTCTCTCTCTCTCTCTCTCTGGTTTCTCTCTCTCTCTCTCTTGTTATCTCTATGTTTTCTCTGGATTCCCCTCTCTGTGTATATCTCGTTATATATATGTGTATATAGATATATGTGTATCGTTCTCTTTTGTGTTTCTCTCTCTCTCTATATATATCGTTATCCCTTTTTCTCTCTCTCTCTCTCTATCTCTCTCTCTCTCTCATTATCTCTCTTTGTCTCGCTATATATATATATATATGTATGTATGTATATGTCCTGTTTCTGCCACTCCTTATGTCCATGTAGATCCCTCTTTGTCTTCCTCATACACGTATACGCACGCATATCCCACCAGCGTTTTAAGGCGTAGGTGGATTAAGGTGTTTCCTCTTCCGCCCCCTAGTTCCCCTTCGGGGAGGGGTTTATCACTGTTCCCTATTGATATACACCCCCTCCCCCAAACGACTGGGAGGAACAATGCGGGCACCCCCACACCATCCGTTGCAAAAAAACTGTGACGTACCCAACCCATTTGTATCATGGGAAACGAGGATTTGGCCGAAACTTGCATGGACAATCAAATTGCAGGATCCGTTGCTTGATATGTAAGCTACTTGGGACACGCGCCTATGGCATGATGCGCAGGAGAACCATACAAGAACGAGGGGCGACAACTACAGGCTCGAAGAAGAGATGGGGAGTCGGGAACGATGAGCAGGAGAAAGACGTGCGGGAAGCCCACTGCGCTGGGTTCCCCAGCAGGCCACGAAAGTGGCGACAGTTTCACAGATCGCAGCCCCTCAGGGATGGCGAGGTCTAATTTGAATCCGCGGTGACTACCCACTGCGCTGGGCCCCCCAGCAGGCCTCGAAAGTGGCGACGGTTTCATAGATCGCAGCCCCCCAGGGATGGCGAGGTCTAATTAGGCCTCGAAAGTGGCGACAGTTTCACAGATCGTAGCCCCCAAGGGATGGCGAGGTCTAATTTGAGTCCGCGGTGAGTACCCACTGTGTTGTGCCCCCCAGCAGCCCTCGAAAGTGGCGACCGTTTCACAGATCGCAGCCCCCTAGGGATGGCAAGGTCTAATATGAATCCGCGGTGTGTGCCCACTGTGCTGGGCCCCCCAGCAGGCCTCGAAAGTGGCGACAGTTTCACAGATCGCAGCCCCCCGCGGATGGCGAGGTCAAATTTGAATCCGCCGTGTGTACCCACTGTGGTGGTCCCCCCAGCAGGCCCCGAAAGTGGCGACAGTTTCACAGATCGCAGCCCCCCAGGGATGGCGAGGTCAAATTTGAATCCGCCGTGGGTACCCACTGTGCTGGGCCCCCCAGCAGGCCTCGAAAGTGGCTACAGTTTCACAGATCACAGCCCTCCAGGGATGGCGAGGTCTAATTTCAGTCCGCGGTGTGTACCCACTGCGCTGGGCCCCCCAGCAGGCCTCGAAAGTGGCGACCGTCTCACAGATCGCAGCCCCCCAGGGATGGCGAATCCTAATGTCAGTCCGCTGTTGGTACCCACTGCGTTGAGCCACCCAGCAGGCCTCGAAAGTGGCTACAGTTTCACAGACACAGCCCCCCGTGGATGGCGAGGTTAAATTTCAATCCGCGGTGTGTACCCACTGTGTTGGGCCCCCCAGCAGGCCTCGAAAGTGGCGACAGTTTCACAGATCGCAGCCCCCCAGGGATGGCGAGGTCAAATTTGAGTCCGCGGTGCGTACCCACTGTACTGGCCCTCCCCCAGCAGGCCTCGAAAGTGGCGACAGTTTCACAGACCGCAACCCCCCAGGGATGGCGAGGTGTAATTTGAATCCGCCGTGTGTACCCACTGTGTTGGGCCCCCCAGCAGGCCTCGAAAGTGGCGACACAGCCCCCCAGGGACGGCGAGGTACACTTTGAATCCGCCGTGCGTACCCACTGTGGTGCCCCCCCCCCCCCCCCAGGCCCCGAAAGTGGCGACAGTTTCACAGATCGCAGCCCCCCAGGGATGGCGAGGCCAACTTTCAATCCGCGGTGTGTATCCACTGTGCTGGCCCCCCCAGCAGGCCTCGAATGTGGCGACAGTTTCACAGATCGCAGCCCCCCACGGATGGCGAGGTCACATTTGAATCCGCCGTGTGTACCCACTGTGCTGGGCCCCCCAGCAGGCCCCGAAAGTGGCGACAGTTTCACAAATCCCAGCCCCCCAGGGATGACGAGGTCCCATTTGAATCCGCCGTGGGTATCCACTGCGCTGGGCCCCCCAGCAGGCCTCGAAAGTGGCGACAGTTTCACAGACCGCAACCCCCCAGGGATGGCGAGGTGTAATTTGAATCCGCCGTGGGTACCCACTGTGCTGGGCCCCCCAGCAGGCCTCGAAAGTGGCGACAGTTTCACAGATCGCAGCCCCCCAGGGATGGCGAGGTCAAATTTCAATCCGCGGTGTGTACCCACTGCGCTGGGCCCCCCAGCAGGCCTCGAAAGTGGCGACAGTCTCACAGATCGCAGCCCCCCAGGGATGGCGAGGTCCCATTTGAATCAGCCGTGGGTACCCACTGTGCTGGGCCCCCCAACAGGCCCCGAAAGTGGCTACAGTTTCACAGATCGCAGCCCCCCAAGGATGGCGATGTCAAATTTGAGCCCGCGGTGTGTACCCACTGTGTTGGGTCCCCCAGCAGGCCTCGAAAGTGGCGACCGTTTCACAGATCGCAGCCCCCCAGGGATGGCGAGGTCAAATTTGAGTCCGCGGTGCGTACCCACTGCGCTGGGCCCCCCAGCAGGCCTCGAAAGTGGCGACAGTTTCACAAATCCCAGCCCCCCAGGGATGGCGAGGTACACTTTGAATCCGCCGTGCGTACCCACTGTGGTGCCCCCCCCCCCAGGCCCCGAAAGTGGCGACAGTTTCACAGATCGCAGCCCCCCAGGGACGGCGAGGCCAACTTTCAATCCGCGGTGTGTATCCACTGTGCTGGCCCCCCCAGCAGGCCTCGAATGTGGCGACAGTTTCACAGATCGCAGCCCCCCACGGATGGCGAGGTCACATTTGAATCCGCCGTGTGTACCCACTGTGCTGGGCCCCCCAGCAGGCCCCGAAAGTGGCGACCGTTTCACAGATCGCAGCCCCCCAGGGATGGCGAGGTCAAATTTGAGTCCGCCGTGGGTACCCACTGTGCTGGGCCCCCCAACAGGCCTCGAAAGTGGCGACAATTCCACAGATCGCAGCCCCCCAGGGATGGCGAGGTCAAAGTTGAGTCCGCCGTGGGTACCCACTGTGCTGGGCCCCCCAGCAGGCCTCGAAAATGGCGACAGTTTCACAGATCGCAGCCCCCCAGGGATGGCGAGGTCAAAGTTGAGCCCGCCGTGGGTACCCACTGTGTTGGGCGCCCCAGCAGGCCTCGAAAGTGGCGACGGTTTCACAAATCCCAGCCCCCCAGCTGGCACGCAGCGACGAGCGAAGGCAGGGGGGAAGAGAGGGACGGGGGGGTGGGAAGGTTCGCGCGAGCAGTGCTCTATTCAAAACGAGAACCCAACGCAGGAGGGTTTGGTGGGAGGAAGAAGAAGAAACAGAAAGAAACAAAATACCCTGGCGACGTACCCAACCCCTGCGCAAACGCGGGGCGCAAATAGTTTAGGACACTTTATAAGGGGGGCGATGACGGAGCAAGGGTTACATATGTCTGCAGACGGAATTCGGGAGACTCGCAGGAAACTGGCTTCAGGACAAGGACTAGATAAAGCTGATTAGTTGCAATCCCTGAGCAACCCTAGCCACTTCGAAAGCGGAGATCTCAGATCGCAGCCCCCCAGGGATGGCGAGGTCTAATTTGGGTCCGCGCGTGGCGTCACTGTGCTGGGCCCGCCAAGCAGGCCTCGAAAGTGGCGACAGTTTCACAGATCGCAGCCCCCCCCAGCGATGGCGAGATCTAACTTGAATCTGCCCGTGGCCCTCACTGTGCTGGGCCCCCCAGCAGGCCTCGAAAGTGGCGACAGTTTCACAGATCGCAGCCCCCCAGGAATGGCGAAATCTAATTTGAATCTGCCTGTGGCCCTCACTGTGCTGGGCCCACCAGCAGGCCTCGAAAGTGGCGACAGTTTCACAGATCGCAGCCCCCCAGGGATGGCGAGGTCTAATTTGAATCACTGTGCTGGGCCCCCCAGCAGGCCTCGAAAGTGGCGACAGTTTCAGATCGCAGCCCCCCAGGGATGGCGAGGTCTAATTTGAATCGCCCGTGGCCCTCACTGTGCTGGGCCCCCCAGCAGGCCTCGAAAGTGGCGACAGTTTCACAGATCGCAGCCCCCCAGGGATGGCGAGGTCTAATTTGGGTCCGCGCGTGGCCCTCACTGTGCTGGGCCCCCCAGCAGGCCTCGAAAATGGCGACAGTTTCGCAGATCGCAGCCCCCCAGGGATGGCGAGGTCTAATTTGGGTCCGCGCGTGGCCCTCACTGTGCTGGGCCCCCCAGCAGGCCTCGAAAATGGCGACAGTTTCGCAGATCGCAGCCCCCCAGGGATGGCGAGGTCTAATTTGAATCCGCGCGTGGCCCTCACTGTGCTGGGCCCCCCAGCAGGCCTCGAAAATGGCGACAGTTTCGCAGATCGCAGCCCCCCAGGGATGGCGAGGTCTA